ATAATTCAACATGGAGCCCCAATCATTTTGTTCCACTTATGTCACGATTGATTCAACACGAGCGTGATAATAATAATCAATTAGCGTCAGTTCTTGCGGTAAGTTTTTGATTTATGAACTAGAATTCATAAACCTTAAGATTTATTTAGACTCCTGAAAAGAAAACATTTAAAAACAATGCTGCTATCCAGATACGAATTCCTGAGTTTCAATCATCTCCTAGTAGACGTTTACGAAGTGAAACTAACATAGACACTGATTCTTCTCAATCGATCATGTCTGATACAATGTTGTACGATCAGAATGACAAAGAAGAACAACGTCAAATTCGTCTTGAAAAGAAAAGAGAACGAGTTCGACCAAGTCGACTGAACGCAACCGAAGAAGAGCGCCAAAATCGACTGAGGGGAGAGAGGCACCGCAGTCAAACTAGTCGAAAGAATGCAACAGAAGAACACCGTCTTAATCGACTCGAGCAGCAAAGAAAACGAAGTCAGGCAAACAGAGAAAAAAAGAAAAATGAAAAACCCATGTCCGAGAATATTAGTGTTCAGCAACAAACTACTCAGATGCAATCTGCTGGGACGGAAGAAGTCACATTACAAGGTGGTATTAATACATTTCATTCTATATCAAATGCAAGTATCTTACCGAAAATTAGAAATGCGACTTCTTCTTGGCCTGAACCAATTTCTCGTGACTTGAAAGAAGGATGTCTCAAAAAATTTCTTCATCGAATGTCCATGTCAGCACTAGCCGAAACTACGTGTGCAGTTTGCAACATTCGAAGTCCGATGCAAAAGTCAAAATCAGTACCTGTCTCAAAAACTACTAGCATTGAATTACTCAAAGTTTCAGACGAAACTAAAGCTCTGATCATGGGCTCTCAGTTATCGAATTTACAGTATATAAATGAAGGCACCGTAACTACTGTTAATACTGGTGGTATACAAACGACTGATCATGCTCAAAGTAATATACATTTATTCTTGATTGAATATTTCTTCAATAACCTTTTATTATTTCAGCTTCCAAGTCACCATCTTTTTATTGTGAAAACAATATTATTTTATATACTAGTGGCTTATTTCAACAGAACAAGAAGAATATGTGCACACTCTGTCAAAAATGCCATGATGCTTTATCGAA